AGCCGCAGCGTTGTCCGTCAGGGCTCTGAACGTTTCCTCACTGCTAACCGCATACCAAGCGGAGCTCTGTGAGGATATGTTGAGTAATCCTGGACCGGCCGTTCTGGATGAGTTGGACACGGAGACAAATGTCTGTGACCGCGGTCACAGACATTTGTCTCCGTGTCCAACGCTGCGCCGTCCAGGCCACGGGCAAAACAATGGGGTTCATGGTGGTGCAGGAAAGAGCTAGATGGCTCAACCTCACCAACCTCCCAGACCGGGAAAAGGAGGATGTGCTTGACATGCCCATCGTTCCCGAGGGGATTTTCGGCTCCGCTCTTGCCTCCATGCAGAGGAGATGCGAGTCGAAAAAGAAGGAGGACGAGGCCCTCCACCTCTGCCTCCCTCGAAGGGCCCAGCCGCTGCCTTCGCAGCGGCTGGGCCAAGCTGCCCCGAACCCTGCTCGGTTAAAAATACCAAAAACGCAGAGGTCGCAGTCCGCCCCGAGTCCCCAGCCCAGGCAGGGGACGAGGGCGAGCTGGCCTAGAAAATCTACGGTTCCGGCTGCAGCCCAGGCGCAGCCAACCCAAAATTTCGGCCAGCAGTCGAGGAAGAAGAAGCGAGCGGCGTGACAGCCCCTCCTTCTCCCCTCTGTGACAGAGCTGGAAGTCTACGGTTCCCCAGCTCTAAATGTGTTCCCGCCGCCTCGAGAGATGCCTCAACACCATCCTCAAGTAAACACATGTCACACACTTATTGATTTTTCTGTCATAAAACATTTTCCGCTGACGCATCCAGGCTTCGAGCCAAGGGCGCAGCTTGAAAAAATGAAAAGAAAAACAATAAACAGTCCGTCAACTGTTCCCCTTCTGAGAGCAGCTACGGCCTCTCTCAAAGTGCGGACAATTGACGGGTCTGTGAAGGCACCACCGTCACGCGCATGCGCAGTGCCGGCTGGGGCTGTAAAGGCACCACCGTCACGCGCATGCGCAGTGCCGGCTGGGGTCGTGAAGGCACCACCGTCACGCACATGCGCAGTGCCGGCTGGAGCTGTAAAGGCACCACCGTCACGCGCATGCGCAGTGCCGGCTGGGGTTGTGAAGGCACCACCGTCACGCGCATGCGCAGTGCCGGCTGGAGCCGTAAGGGCACCACCGCCAAACGCATGCGCTGTGTCGGTGGGGATTGTCGAAATGGGGCACCACAGTGCTCAGACACTGGAGGGCCCCATAACACAACAAATAGAGACTCAGAGGGGAAGAGACGTGACATCTCAGCTGGCTCTAAGGAGCATACAGCGGGAGATGCTCACGACATCTGCTTGGGTTTCTCAAGACAGTTACACGGAGCTACAGACTCCAAGTCACCGTCACCCCCCCCTCGCTTCTCAGGCATTCTGCATTCGCAGGCCCGAGGAGAGTCAGCCCATATTCTGGAGAGAGAGATTCTCTCACTCCTAGAAAAGAGGGCTATATCTATTGTACCCGCCGAGCAGAGTCAGGGCGGCTTCTATTCCAAGTACTTCCTCGTTCCCAAACGGGGAGGGAACGGAATTCGGCCAATACTTGATTTGAGGGCTCTGAACAAATATCTAAAAAGATATAAGTTCAGAATGCTCACTCACACATCTCTGCTGCGGCTCGTGCGACAAGACGACTGGTTTACATCAGTCGACCTGAAAGATGCGTATTTTCACATCCCAGTATATTACCCACACAGGAAATATCTGAGATTCGCATTTCAGGGGATCTGTTATGAATACAGAGTACTCCCCTTAGGTCTGTCTCTCAGTCCAAGGGTGTTTGTACGATGTACGGAAGCCGCGATAACCCCGTTAAGACAACAGGGTATTCGCCTGGCGACCTACCTGGACGACTGGCTGCTTCTCGCACAGTCGGAGCAGGAGGCTGTTACGCAGACAAATGTCCTCGTAAAGCACCTGCTCAACCTGGGTTTCATAATAAACACAGAGAAGAGCATGTTGTGCCCCGCGCAGACTATACTCTTCCTGGGTTTACGCCTGAACTCGGTGCCCTTTTGAGCTCGCTTGTCAGCGGAAAGAGTGAAAGCTTTCAGAGCTTGTCTCGCTCTTTTCCAGCTGCGCAAACATGTTCTCTTCAGATCATGCCTGTGATTGCTGGGGCTCATGGCGTCAGCCATCCTGGTCGTACGACTGGGACGCTTACACATGAGGGAGTTTCAGCGCTGGGTGGCCGCCCTAAAACTAAACCCCGCGCGCCATGGAGAGTGATGGTTACTGTGAAATGCGTAATGTCACTGTGCCACTGGCTGCACCCGACTTTTCTAGTACGAGGTGTGCCTATGGGTGCTGTCCTTTCACGGAAAGTGGTCACCACGGACGCATGTCTGACAGGTTGGGGAGGTATTTATGAAGGTCGCCCGGTGAGGGGTCTCTGGAGCAGAGACCTCCAGCGGGCGCACATAAATTACCTGGAGCTTTAGCGGTGTTTCTCACCCTAAAACGCTTTCTGCCTTTCCTCAGGGGACATCACGTCCTCGTGAGGACAGACAATACGACCACAATATCGTATATTAACCGCCAAGGGGGTTTGCGTTCTCTCCAGTTACACACACTGGCGTGCAAACTGATCCTATGGAGCGGTAGACGTCTCCTCTCTCTGAGAGCGACGCACGTACCGGGAGGGATGAACCTCGGGGCAGATCTACTGTCCAGAGGTATACCACTTTATGCAGACTGGACTCTACATCCAAGGATTGTGAGCCAACTGTGGGTGCGTTACGGCAGAGCCGCGGTGGATCTGTTCGCATCGAAAGACAACACTCAGTGTCAGCTGTTCTTTTCGATGCGCGATCTAAATGCACCGTTAGGCGTGGATACACTTGCGCACGATTGGCCCCCGGGCCTTCTGTACGCGTTCCCACCCCTGGCTCTGATACCCCCAACTCTGGCCAGAGTGAGAGAGCAACGCCACACACTTATACTGATAGCTCCGCACTGGCCAGCTATGTACTGGCTAGCGGAGATATATCAGCTGCTGTGCGGGCAGCCATGGCAGCTCCCACTACGCAGGGACATACTGTCCCAAGCGGGGGGGGGCGATCTTTCACCCACACCCAGAGCGCTTGGCGCTATGGGCCTGGCCCGTGAGTGGTACAATCTGAATACAGTGTGACATGAAGCTGACCCTGGCAGCTGCCAAGCGAGCCAGTGGCACTCATGCGCTATCTGTACAGTCTTCATGCACTCAGTTCGCCCCAGGGCAAACAGAGTGTGGTTGAAGCCCAACCCTGCCTTTATCTTAAGGCGGTTGGTTCAGGTACCACATTTGACATTGAGGCATCCTCCCCGCCACTGTATTCCTCCGGGGAACAGCGGCCGGATTTGCCGTGTCCAGCCCGTGCTTTACGCACGTACAGGGACAGATCAAGGGTGCTTCGTCATAATGACCAACCCCTTGTGTCCTGGGCTAACCCTTATAAGGGCAAGCCTGTTACTAAGCAACGGCTCTCCCACTGGTTTGTGGAAGCAATTGCTTTGGGGCCCATACGAGTCAGAGTTCGCAGGCACCCTCGGGTCTGCGAGCTCTTTCGACTCAGGGTCTGGCTGCATCCTGGGCTCTGTCCAGGATGTCTCCCATCCAAGACATTGGTGCAGCGGCGAGCTGGTCCTCGCCGCTCACTTTTGTCCGCCTCTTAACAGGCTGGACGTTCTGTTCCCAGTGTGACTCAAGCAGTGCTGGGCACCTGGTTGAGTCAGAGCTTCTATTTGTTCTTTTTGACCAGTCCTCCAGACCTCTTTTTGTTTCCCGTTTCGCTTGTGGAAGCAAACGGCTGATTATCAATACATGCTCCTTACCAAGTAGGCCTACCGGTTATTGCTTTCATGTTGCGGGTCTCAGCCATAGACTGTATATATAAAGGTCTCAGCACTCTCCTTCTACCACCTAAAAAACATTGCCAGAATCCGGCATTCACTCTCTGACTCTGTGGCAGAAACTCTTGTACTCGCCTTTATTACATCCCGTCTGGACTATTGCAATGGAGTCCTGTCCGGGGTTCCCAGCAAAACCCTGGATAGACTCCAATACGTCCAGAACTCTGCCGCCAGGCTTCTAACCCACACCAAGCCATGGCACTATATCACCCCCACCCTCATCCACCTACACTGGCTGCCGGTCAAGTCCCGGATTCAATACAAAACACTCATCCTCACGTACAAGTCCCTCCATTCCCTCGCCCCCCAGTACCTATCGGACCTCCTCCATCCCTACACCCCTTCTCGGAGTCTGCGGTCCTCAGACACGGGCCTGCTCTCCATCCCCCGCTCTCGCCTCCGAACTGTTGGTGACAGGGCATTCAGTGTTGCGGCCCCCACCCTCTGGAGTGCACTTCCTGCCGAGATCCGTAATGCTGCCTCCCTGGGCATCTTCAAATCATCATTAAAAGCACACCTGTTCACCCTGGCCTTCGGGCCCTAGCCCTTTTCTGGTCCCCAGGCTTCCTTTATTTATTTTTTTGGTTTGCCCGTTGATTGTCTGTTTGTTTTGTTTGTCCACCATGTACAGCGACCTTGGGTCCCTTGAAAGGCTTTTTATTATTATTATTATTATTATTATTATTATTATTATTATTATTATTATTATTATTATTATTATTATTATTATTATTATCATGCCTTAATGCTCTTCAAAATACTTATAGCATATAGGCTGCCATGTGCCATCATCACTCCACAGAAAGCTGTGTCATCTTGACTGGATATAGAAATCATGACATATAAGAAAACCCATTATGCTAAAGAGTGTTAAATGCTGGTTGTAATCATGAGGCTTTTACACCAATCATTGTAGGAGATCCTATGTAATATTTTTTTTTGTTGAAAAACGTATTATTAAAAGCACATTAAGTAAAATTATCAGTATGAGTGCTTAATATTTCACAATCCTGCCTCTACTGCTTTGCCATTGGATATTGTCTCGTTGAAAAACTTTCCCTTGCATTCTATTGGCTGTGCGGTGTAATAGGCGGGACAACTTTCAGGAAGTAAACAACGTTTGTTTCTGTTTCGCACCGGCATATGAGCAACAGAGGACAGATTCACATTTTAAGAATACGTTTGCTCTCAAGTATATATTATCACCGTGTTTCGATATATATTTATACACAAAAGGACGACGTAGGCTACGGCTTGGGTTCCCTTTGGAGGTCGGTACATAACAAAGCATGTAAGTAATAACATAGCTCCTCACTAGCTTATTTAGCTGCTAGTTGGATGCTCCTTAAACTAATGCCAACTGTTAGCTTTAGGTGTTCAAACCTTACATTTTCCACTGCATTAGGCGTGTCATCACATTTGAACGACAGTGTGTTATCTTTAACGGTGGAGCTATTTCTGTTGTCATTCTTGTGTTGTGTGTAACCTTTAAACACAAACAGTGGCGGAAGAAGTACTTGTACAACTACTCTGTTACAAGTACAAGTACTGCATTCAAAATCTAACTTAAGTAAAAGAACAAAAGCATTAGCATGTACACATATACACGTACTTTTTGTACATAAAGTCCAATTTCAGAATCAAATCACTGGATTATTATTATGTATGCATTAGTGTGTCAATGAATGTTTATTTATTAGTTAACTTAAATATTATCTTATTACATGTTTTTATCCAATGCGATTTACATTCTCAATACTGTGGGCAATCCCCACAGGAGCAATTTGGGGTAAACTGTCTCAGGGACACAACGACATGATGACGGCAGTGGGGTTTGAACCTGTGACCATTTGATCCCCAGACCAAAGCTTTATCCACTGCGCCACACATTTGTAACTAAGTAACTTATAAGTAAAGCTATCAGATAAATATAGTGGAGTAAAAATACAATATTGGCTTTCAAAGTGTAGTGGAGGAGAAGTATTAAGTAGCATAACAGGAAAATACGACCAAATTATACCTGAGTACAGTACTTGAGTAAATGTACTTTACTGTACTGTTTACTAACCGTGACAAACAAAGTTGGATAGTCAGGTAAAACACTCTGCCGTCACATGCACTATTGATATCCCAACTTTAATTGCCAAAGACTAGACGGTTATTTTTGGCAGTCATTTGTCTAAATCCAATTTAATTTTAAAATGTGTTTGTAATCATTTTTAATGTTACAAAACTGGCAGTATAATGCTCAAGGTAAATCCTGTACCAGCCAGCTGGTGCTTTCTAATTTTAGTTGTCATGTTAGACAGAATGGTGACTCCGGAGCCTACTACTAAGTAGTGTGGGACCGAAGCCGCATGAGATCTGATATGAATTTTATGTTGCCCATATAATAATTCCGGTACCACTTTACAATAAGACAGGTAAACAGGGCAACTGTGACCGGTTGCTTGCCAAATAGTGAGCCCACATTTATCTGTACTGCTAAGCCTTATATTGGCTACCTAGCTTACTTCGTCTTCTTCATCAGCCAGCATCCTTGGTATCTGTTGTTCACTGAGTTGATTCTCGCCAAGTAGCTAATATAAGGCTTAGTCATCTTGCTAAATAGTGAGCCTGTGTTGATGTAAGGAAACTGTTAGAACTGGTTTATAAATGGTTCTTAATGATTAATATCGTGTTTACAACCTAATTCATAACTTCATTATAAACCCTTTATGAATCCTTTATAAGGGTAGTCTTATTGTAAAGTGGTACCAGAATTGCTAACATCACATTTTTCCTACACTTCCTGCTCAGTTGTCATGCCACCACCGAAGAAGAGGGCATTGCTCAAACCCCTCCCAGAAGGCTTCCTACTGACCGACAGTGAGAAGAAGAAATGGAGGCTGGGTAAAATCATCGGCGAAGGTGGCTGTGGACTCATCTATTTAGGTAATACATATTTACTGTGGACATCTTACATATTACTGTGAATTTATTGTATTATATATTTTATTGCTAGTGCAGTAACGTAACAAAGTATATTTATTCAAGTACTGTACTTAAATAAAAAACGGTGATACTTATACTTGAGTATTTTCACATTATGCTACTTTATACTTTTTAGTCCACTACATTTATTTTACAGATTTAGTGACTAGTTATTTTACAAATGTAGATTATTAATTTAACACCAAAATCAACACATTATTATATGTTATTAACAGTTATGCTCCCCAGTAGTTTATAAAGTCATTCAAATAAACCCCGCTTTTACCAAGTGCAACATTGAAGTGATGAACACATTAATGCATCATTAATTATAATACAATCATTGAAACATATATTGTGCTTTAATGTGCACAATGATTACTTTATATATTGATCAAAGTACTTTTTAAATGTTACTTAAGTACAATTTTGAATGCAGGAATTTAACTTGTAATTTATTATTTTTACATTGTGGTATTGCTACTTTTACTCAAGTAAATAATCTGAGTACTTCTTCCACCTCTGTTTGTTGTACATTTTGTATTTAACTTATTTTGTTAATATAAATATTTTATTAACATTTTTGTTTAATCTCAATGGCCCATTTTAACCTTTTGTATTTGTATGGTGGAACACATATTTTTGTTTTAATTTCTTGTAAATGGAGCAATTGTCGCAAAATCCTATTTCTCCCAGGATAAACAAAGTGTTCTGATTCTGAACGAGTGTGTTCATGCAGGCAACAGAACATCTCTCTCTTCCTGGGAGACTCTGATTGATCTGTTTGTCTCTTTCTGTAGAAAGCTCTTTCAACAGATCAGATTGTTACAAGACAACCCTGGGATTCCTAACAAATCCCATCCTCTAATCTATGGAGACCTTTCCACTCAGCACTAACTCCCGATATTTACAAATCCATAAGTGCAGTCCGGCTTTTTGAGTACAGTATTTTGTTAATTTCTTCCCGGTCTTGGATACATTTTAAACATGCAAATGGCTGGATAACGTCCAAGAGTTAAGACGTTTCATAATGTATCACAACTTTATCCTCTGTATGTTATTATAATGTTCCTCTCTGTCTCCTGTTGAACAGCCTCCCGTGATGTGGACAGACCTGTTGCAGCAGACACTGACTTTGTCATAAAAGTGGTGAGTACATTTGAGCTTCACACAGCTGTTAAAAAGGTTACAGAGGATGATGCATGTCAAAAACTATTTGCATCAAAACTATGTTTCCTCATTTCAGTTTCCATTTCTCCAAACATCAGGTGATTTATTTGGAAGTCACCGAAAATGTGTTTGAGAAGACTGAAACAAATGATGATAGAAATAACTTTGGATAATGTAGTACAAAGACATTTGACTGAGTGATGGTTGAATCACATGCATTTCCTGTCAGGGGAAGTAGAGTTTACAGCCTTCAATATATGAGACATTCATGCAAATTGTCAAATTGGTGGCTGAGTGACCTTTTTAGAATCAAATCTTTTTGCTAAATTCTGATAAAATTATATATTTTACATTTCAGCTGATACTATTATATTCATATTCTATTGATATTGTGACTAGATATTGTCTTACAGGTGGGATTTAACTTTCACCTAATGTAGAGTTTAGATGGAAATGTTTTTGCTGACTTGCCATGGGTTATCCAAGTGTTTTGGACTCTTATGATTTAAGGGAAAACACAGCAGAAATACATCTTTGAAAGAAAAAAAATGCCACCCTAATGTCTCATCACATTTAATAATTGTTTCATTGAAATTGCCTTATGAACTAGACTAGCCCAACATTCAAATTGTAGCAAGCACAATATTTGTTAAAGGCTAAATATGTGTTCAAATAGCATTTTAAACAAAGTATTCTGGAACTGCAGAGGCAAACTTGCCTACAAATCGTATTTTCTAAACTCTCTTAAAAAAAAATCCCACCATGATCTTCATAATATATTTTCCACTGATAATGATAATAATGATGCAAAACTGATCAGTCCCCCTGTATCATAATCACAATATGAGTGAAAACATTTCTTTATTTTTCTTATTGTGGAGCATTATCTCTTTCAACTCCACTGTGTGATATGCTAACACGTGTTTTTGTCAAGCCGTCTTGAGACCATGATAATGAAATTGTTAGTAATGTTCCCTTGCATCTCCAGGAGTACCATGAGAACGGCCCCCTGTTCTCCGAGCTCAAGTTCTACCAGAGGGCAGCCAAAGCGGAGAGCAGTGAGTAGCAGCGTCCGTCCAGCGTCCCGGCAGCTCACTGGAGCAGGAGTGTGTTTGACTGATGAAGTGGCCGCAGACACGGAGGCTTTGCCGCCTGCAGCACAGTAATTAATAATAAGCCAAAGCAAACATGCACCTCAGTGGCAGTTAGCCCCCCTCTCCACGCTTGTCTGAGCTCTCCAACGCCTCGGTTTGGAGAGGCGCGGCAGAGAGGAAGCCACTCACACATAATGATGCCCGGGCCTCCGCTGAGCCCCTGACCACCTGCCAGTCTGGTGGAGAGCCAGTCAGGCCGGCCGCGATCCAGCACTGAGCCAGAACCACTGCTCTGTCTGTGTGTGTGTGTGTGTGTGTGTGTGTGTGTGTGTGTGTGTGTGTGTGTGTGTGTGTGTGTGTGTGTGTGTGTGTGTGTGTGTGTGTGTGTGTGTGTGTGTGTGTGTGTGTGTTGTGTGTGTGTGTGTGTGGTGTGTGTGTGTGTGTGGTTGTGTGTGTGTGTGTGTGTGTGTGTGTTGTGTGTGTGTGTGTGTGTGTGTGTGTGGTGTGTGTGTGTGTGTGTGTGTGTGTGTGTGTGTGTGTTGTGTGTGGTGTGTGTGTGTGTGTGTGTGTGTGTGTGTGTGTGTGTGGTGTGTGTTGTGTGTGTGGTGTTCACCCTTCCTCCTCCCACATTACATTGTACATGCTTGCATTATACGGTTGTCTATAAATGAGTCTTACAACTTGTACATTTGTCAGCATTTGACCATATGGTTCCCTTGTCTCAAAATCCGTTATTTTTGGTTATATTCTAAGATCTGTTGTTAAAAGCTTGAGATAATTTTTATGTTTTGTTCTACAACATAAAATAAGTCAGTAAACACCCTCAAATGAACGTCTGAAACCTTTTTGTGTCAGAAAAAACGGCGCGTTACTACCAAGTGGCTAAATAAGTCTATTAAACATCATGTTTTCATAACGCCGAACAGTTCTAGCCAAACCTTTTTTCTACTTTCTTTGAGATTTGTTGCTTTTCTTGGAATACCTATTGGAAAAGGAGAGTGTTGTTTCAGGGGTTTTGGTAAGGGTTAGGAAATGATTAGACTTTGAGAATTCTTAGGGAGTAACACCAAAGTTTGTTTAAGTTGTCTGTCAGAACAGCGGTTCAAGAGACAAAGGTTTCTTCTTCTCAAACATTGTGGTTAAGAGTTTAGTTTAGTTGTTGGTTGGAGTTTAAATGCTGAAATATATGAACACACATTGACATAATTGTCTCTCTCCTATTGTTGTTTCAGTGCAAAAATGGAAGCAAAGAAGGAAACTGGGCTTCCTGGGCATTCCAACCTACTGGGGATCAGGACTCGCTGAATATAATGACCTGAGGTATTGACAAGCTTTCAGGACAGATGTCATTAGATGATGACCATAATGCATGTTTGATATAAGGGCTAGGGATACACACACTGGACTGAACTGTATGATAATATTATGCAAATCAACGTTACATGTGGCTTATTACTAATGAGTATTTCTGAAGACACATTAGCAGTTGACTCATCTGAAGAACTTGTTCACTACTGCATAACAACAAAAGGCAGATGTTACCCAATGATGTTGCGTTGCCATGGCTACATACTGAATGAGCCTTGCAAATGAACTTAACACTGTACAAGTAGCATCCATAGTGAGCAACAAACCAGCTGAATGTCCCTTTTTTTCAAAGTGACTTTTCTCCCTACCTTATCTACCAATGCGTTTCAGTTGTTATGACATTACAACACTAAATGTACTGCAAGGTTGTTTATTCCTGGGTGATAAATCTGTGAGTTAAAACCTTTTTTCAATACTCTCAAACATACATTTATATCAGCAATTAGGAGTTATTTTGATTTAAGAAAAATAAGATATTGACCACTGATTTTTCCTCTCCTCTCAGGTATCGTTTCATGGCCATGGACCGACTGGGCAGTGACCTTCAGAAAATCTTGGAACACAGCGGAGGTCAACTGAAGAAGGCCACAGTTCTCCAGCTTGGACGAGGACTGGTGAGATCCCCTTTAATATCCTTAGCATAAAGTGAACAAAGGTCACCAATGACGTTGTGCATTGATTTACATTTCCGTCCTTTGCCAGGTGGACATTCTGGAGTATATTCATGAGAACGAGTATGTGCATGCAGACATTAAAGCTGCCAACCTCATGCTGGGCTGCATAGACCCTGAACAGGTTAGTCTTTCTAGATCCTCCATTGATTATCCTTCATGTGCATAGAGTTATGCTATAGTTTACAGAATGCTATGTTAAGTATGTTTTGCAATCAAGGCTATGAGTTCTAATGATGCACATTGTCCATCATCTACGTGTTTTATGTGTATGTGTGTGTCCTGTAGGTCTATCTAGCAGACTACGGGCTGTCCTACAGATACTGTCCTGATGGAGTCCACAAAGAATACAAGGAAAACCCCAAGAAGGGCCACAATGGAACCATTGAATACACCAGCCTTGATGCCCACAAAGGACTTGGTAAGCCAGTGTAAAATGAGAAAGTAGAAATCACTGATTCTGACACTTCCTTTAGCACACTGCATGCCGTGTACTGTGAACAGTGCATTGTGGGAATTTGGATAATTTAGTTTTGTCTCAAATCGCACAGGCCTGCTTTGCCCCCACTGGAAGTGGTAACGTATGTTACTTAAGCTAAGATGCTGAGCGTTGAGTGCAAGTGTGTCGAGTGTTCCAACTTTTATTAGTGCACCATACAGGTACTTACTGTACAGTGCACTGCAATCTGTCGCATACTTCGCATTGGGATGCACAAGCTGTGCGTCCTTCTCTGACCTGCCAACTTCAGTTCAGTAAAATAATAAAACGGTTCATCAAGAAATTGTGGCAGGACTAATCTAGACTCAAGGTTATTATTGCATATTAAAAGCATGGAAAAGGTTGTGGCGTGATGTGAAATGTTGGCAAGAAAGAATATATTTCTCAACCCTTGGACACAAATGTGCATTTAGTGTTGTGTCAGTTTACAGGAGATAAGGACGCTCCACATTTTCTCTGTGATAAACTTCTAATGTAAATTCAACAAGTATCATTAAATAGTTATTTCAGTTTTTATATGAGCATGCTCATTAATATATTTATAAACCCTAAGAAGCAACCAAGATAAAAGTTATTGATTGGGACTCTGTGACTTATGTATATTAAAGGTCCCAGGTGATGGCCATTTCTACTGATCATAATTCCATTGTTGAGGTCTACTAGAATAGATTTATACTGTGCAATGTTCCAACTCACATTGGTTTCTCATACAGCATCTCTGTATAGTATGTGTATCACTCTCTGTCCTAAACGGCTTGTTGGAGCTCCTGCCACCCCCCCTGTGAGCCCAGTGGCCGTCTGCGAGACAGCGAGACACAGCGAACCCCAGCCCG